CATGACTGAAGATTCGAAATTTCCGGAAAATTTGGCAGAGGACAATGAAAACAAGTGCGAAGACGGTGGCCCAGCAGAAACAAACGCTTCCGTCACCGTTAGCTCCCCGGAAAAATTCGTCGGAAGAGGAAAAATATTGAGCGAACTTCGATAAGGTATCGCCACTATTCATCGAATCCGAAATCACTCTCCGTTTATCCTGAGCAAAAACCCCTTTAGAGATCGATCCTATCGAATGGTTTTAAGACGCATTCACTGCGTTTGTTGTATATTCGTGCGTGGACTAGTCCGGTTCAGGTTGCAGAGTGACAACAAAGGCAACAAAATGGTTCGGAAAATCTTTTGACCTTTTTTCCTTCTTTTTGGTCCTTATATTTTATTTTGTGTTACAAATTACCCACTTTTGTTTTTATTGTTACCATTTGGCCCTCTTTTGTGGAGAAATTGTTACCTTTACACCACCATTTTCACATAATGTTTTGGTAAACATTTATTAAAGAATATATTAACTTAGCTGATAAACAGAGGTTACACCCGATCTGATCTAGAAAAATATGTAGAGAATAGAGACTAAGGAATTATATAGTTTCAAGATAGAATATTTAAAACCAATCACAGGTTAGTAAAAGTATTTATAATATTTTATTTCTTTCTCAGAAATGGATAATAACAAAAACAAAGTGATCCCTTAGCCCCATTACGTGTTTGTGATTCATAACATCTCACAAATCTGAATCTGTTTTTGCTTGTAGAAAGGGTCATGTCCTATATTGATTATCATATGCTATGAACCACACAATCCAATGTCCCTTTCTCATTTTTTTTTTAACTCAATAAAGAAGTATGCAATAATATATGGATAACGCATTGATTGACTTCCCTGTCTCCTTCACAATCAGAATCCAAAAGCTTAGAATTATGTGGAAAAAGAAACAAAAATTGGAGATAAAGAAAGCTGAGTGCTTTGATTGATAGGTGTAATCTGCATATTTATTAAATACACTGCCTGCAAAGATAAATGAAGCAACTTTACAAGAGCAACATTATAATG